ATGCTCTGGGCATCGCTCTAGGGCTGGAACGGCAGCGATGGGATGCTGCGGCCCAGTTTTGCCCTGTGCCCCTTTCTCCCAAACGATGAACTTAAAAGTTCAGTAAAAAGTTCCGATCTTGCTTGTTTGGCTAGGTTGCTTGGGATGTCATTGATTATGTACAAGCTTACTTTGTCAAAGCATTTGTGGGGGGTGGCAGCAGTGGGAGGTGGAGGGAGGGGCTTGCAGTTGGCACGATGGGGTGCTGATGCGGGCTGCAGCCTCATGCAGCTCAGCCCTTGCTGAAAGCCACTTAAGCTACTGCAGCAGGATTTATGTTAGCATCAATGTACTATCCAGAACTTTGATAAAAACGTGGTCTATTCAGCAGGGAAAACCCTGCTGGAATTCACTAGCTGGAGGAGGTCTTGGCAGGCAGAAGATTTTTGAGGAGGGAGCCATTCAAGCTTCATGGGGCAAGGTATTTCCCACTCTGAGTGGGCCCACTGAGAAAGCCCCAACTGTTGTCAAAGTCCACCACAGAGAAGGGGGTCCTCCAGACCCCAGCTGACTTCAAGCACCAGGCAGGCCTATATGGGAGGAGGTGGACCCAGAACATTTCAGGCATGCCCTTAAGTAAACATAGCCACTGAGAAAATTAGTTTACTGCTGGGGGGCATTTGCTATTGGAATAGTTTCAAGCTGCGCCCATACAGGGATTGCACTCGCTGCACTAGCCTAATTATTGCAGGCAAACTAAATAGACATTGAAGAGCTATTATTTAAGAGCCATTGAAGCAAAATTGTGGCAATGCTTTATACATGGCAATGCTAAGACAGTACTGCTGAATTACCACCATATGGAACCTTCTGACAAGCACATGTTTTTCTTCATCATCCAAGATGGGGGCTTTCTTTTCCATTCAGTAGACATAAACAGACTGCTGCAGATCTGGGTGAAGGCAGCTTCAGCTGATCCATCAGCTGCATCCCTACCTGGAGAACGATTGCCTGGCTACAGTGACACACGCACTGGTAACTTCCCGATTAGACTTCTGTAACGTGCTCTACGTGGGGCTACCCTTGAAGATGGTCCGGATACTTCAATTGGTGCAAAACAGAGCTGCCAGGTTGCTGACGGGGACTGGGCGTTGTTCTCATATAACCCCAGTCCTCCATCAGCTTCACTGGCTTCCCATTGAAGTCCGGGCCCAATTCAAG